ATCACAATCACATCATTATACACCATAGACACAAAGACAAACAAGCATACCAAATTTCAGGAAGGCAGCATTTGCAAAATAAGACGTCTAAATATAAATAAAATAAATAAAATATTTATTTAAATTAAACAAAAGGCAGCAAAAACCGAAACACAAGGGAGCTCAAAGAAGACGACCAAGGCTGAATCTGTACATCCAACAATGAATTGAAGACGAGAAATACACAGAGGGTGGAGAGATACGTGACAGCACCTGAGCTGCAAAATCATTGCAGATTATGGACAAGTGACTGATAAACGACAAATGAGAAATGATCCAACGCTAAAAAACACAAGGGAACAGGGATCAAACTAATAAAAAAACTGATTCACAAGGAAAACTAAATAAATGAATGAGTGTTTACGTTGGATACCCTTCATGACATAACCTCAGGATTATAAGACCACAGCACAGACCACCAAGCTACCTGAGCTCCTTTTTATAGACTCATACCTTTTCTAATAGTTAGCTAAAGTCAAACTAAAGGCTTTGCAACATTGTTTGTATTCATCCTTTGATATAGTGTTGCTCCTAAAAGTGCATCTTTCATTTTTTTAAAATATGTATTTAATTCTTGCTGAAGTTTGGCTAGAGCCGTTAGAAAAACAAATATGTTCTCATAAAAGATTCATTATGATGAAAGCTGTGTATTTTAGACTGAGTAGATTAATCTCCACAGCTAAGGTGACCCATTACCCACAGTTTCATATGAGTTACTTCTGACTTGGTTTGTGTGTTTCCTTCATGAGGTCTTAAGGTGTGCCCCTGACACTGTCTTATTTTATTCCTCCTATAAATAAAAGTACCTTAAAGACTAAATGGCCCAATTATGTTATTTTCCCATTAAAAACAGGTCTTGGTGAGAGGTCTTTTGTATTTGTGCTAAATACACCCTGAAGTGTTGGTAACGCACTCAGCTTTAGTCATTAGATTAAAGAGGAGTTTGATGTGCTGGCCTCCATTACCATATAAGAGGCTGGAGTGTCTGGGGATTGCATTAAAGTGAATGACAGCTCCGTTCATCGTGGTGCACAGGTGCACACTGAAGTAAACTCTGTGTGTCTGTGTAATTCACATCTTTGTAGCAGAAGCTCATTTAGCTATGCTGGAGTGTGTAAAAAGATGATTTTTACTTTTGCAGATTTGTGTACTGTTATCAAACGGAAAACTTTTTTTTTTCTTCAAATAATCATCCAACCAGGCTGTCTTTTTTATATTTTGTTCATTTTTTTCATGTATTTGATGCTGTTGGCAGCAATATGCTTCCTTATGGGTGTGAAAGTAAACTACAAAATTAGGAGAAATATTTAGAACTTGTTTGTATTTTGTTGTTTCTGTGTGTCACAGGCTACTATGGGAGAAGCTGCACGGACGCTTGCCACCTGAATCCTTGTGAAAACGAGGCTCAGTGCCACCGAAAGCCGAGCTCTTCTCATGGATACATTTGCGACTGCGGAGACAATCATTATGGGCAGTACTGCCAGCACAGGTACACAGACACACACAAACACACACACTTTTAATCAATTCAGTGGTGAATTCAATTGATTTACCTGTGACTTGTCAACATGGTTTGAAGTTCTTTGAAGTCTAAAACCATTTAATCTGAGTTCAGGCTGTGTGAGTCTAGATTCACCTTGTTGCCCCACATGTTCAGCTGTGTAATTCACTGTAAGATGGATTTAGGCACAAGTCAGAGCACACACACACACACACACACACACTCACATACACACACTGAAGTTTTCTGTGGGTTATATAAGTGTGTGACATGAGTGTGACTCTGACCTGTGGCACCAAGTTACCTTCCTGCCTGTAAAAATCCCCTCAGCTTTTGGTTTATCTCACAATCTGCTCTTGGTGTGAATGTGAATGTGTGTGTCTCAGTCGTTCGTGTTTAAATTGTGTGTCTTTTTCCAAAATAACCCTGCCACAAAATCAGCGGCTGATAAAATGAGCATCCAAAAGTCTTTCTCTTAATTTCCCCTGATATATCTCTTCTTGCGTCTGTGTTATTGAATATTTTATTATCTTTCTTGTCAGATTAAATATAAAGGACTGGCTCATTAATCTTCTTCTGTGAACTGCATCTCTATACTTAATACCTTAATTGCTACCTATTAACTTACATTAATTACATACAGTAAGCTATAATTTATTTATTGAGAAAAAACTCAAAGATCTTTATTAGGTAGTATTTTTAACAAGTAATTGTTACTGTAACAGCAGCAAAGCTTTGTTCAGTTATAGTGCCATGAGAATGGAAACCTTTTATTTAAAACGGGGCTATTCAACTAAATTGCTCCGGGGGTCACAGTTACTGCAGGTCAACAGCTGAGGGGCCGAACATCCAGCAATTAAATTCATTATGTAAATAAACCAAGTATTACAAGATCTGTTACCTTTGCATTAGTTTATTTTGCTGCATTTAATCATGAATACAACATACAGAACTCTACAAAAGTAGTGATAATTAAACAATATCAAAAACAAAAAGAACACATTATGCCTCCTATTTGACACAAATATTATTTTGACATCGTACTTGCCAAATTTATAAACCAATTTTATTTTCACTTTCATAGTTTTATCTTCAACTGCTTGTAGTTTTGCCAGTCTTGAGTGTGCATTGATTGTGTTTTACCAGATGTAGCCAAGATTCTGACATTTCTGTAGAAACCAAACATGTCTATGGCTACGTTCACACTGCAGGTCTTAATGCTCGGTTCCGATTTTTTGAAAAAATCCGATCTTTTGTGCGAACGTTCACGTTACATTTTAAATGTGACCTGCATCAGACCCCTGTGTGAACGCTACACAGCACTGATGTGACACGCATGCGCAGTAAAAGTCTCATCAGCTGGTTTGTTTACAGAGCTAGCATGGATGCTACATGTTACACATTGAATCGGAAGTTGTTGTTTAATCAGAGCTGATTAAATAATTATCTGACCTGCTTCTTTAGTTCAGTGTTTATATCTGAAGCTGCCTCTGACCGGGATGCTCCAGTGGAGCTTTTTTTTTTTTTTTTGAACGAAACTACAAGTTAGAAAAAAGTATCGACCGCGTAGCTAACTTTAGGATCGATACTCTCGGCGACCCAGGCTGGACATTGTTATCATCATACTATCTACGTGTAAAATGAAAAGTAAAAAGATGAAGCAACTGGACTTGTGTTTTGGAGCTGTAAACACACGGAGCTACAGATTTAAACAGCGAGACTTGAGGTTAGTGTCTTATCGGTCCTTCAGCCCCTCCTCCTGATGAAAAAGTCAGATGTAATGTGACATGAGCATTCACACTGCAGTCACTGTGAAAACATCAGATATGTATCCGATTTAAAACCACATTCTGAAACGGCCTGGGTCGGATTTGAAAAAATCGGATTTGTCTCGTTCAGACTGTCATTAAAAAATCAGATATGAGTCAGATGGGGCAAAAAATCGGATTTGGGTCGGACTTGCCTGCAGTGTGAACGTAGCCTAAGTTTAACTAAAGAACTTATAGTAATTAAAGTGGAAAACCGGGGGTTTGGACTTAAAAGATGAATGAACCAATTGGCGGGCCGAACTTTGGTCACTCGGGGCCAGATGTGGCCCATGGGCCGCCAGTTGAATAGCCCTGATTTAAAAGCTCTGAAACTTGACCTAATAAATAAACTAAACTACTGCAGTTTGACAGCAGTCTTAGACAGTCTTCTTTTTGTTTGTGCATTTTCTTCCCTGAGCTATGCAAGATAAGTGCAGGCACCAAATCCAACATGACCAATCAACCAACCAACGTAACCACAGTAAGAACTGAAACATGGGACTGATTAGCTAACATAGTTAACCTTTATTTGCAACCTTAAATTAATGGAAAAACAAACTTAATACAAAAAAAGTTCATATATACTAACAAACCTTTTGCTGCCAGTAGTTCAACTTTTAGCACAACTCCACATCTATTTTCCTGCTGTACATGGATTAATAAGCTGTGAAGTGCACTTTCAAAATAAAAGCGTACGGGTTAAAACCGGAAGTCAATTGTTTCAGTGAAAATATTTCAAAATACAAAAAAAATAGCTTCTACTGCAACAAAATATACTGGTGGTTTTCTACATACTCCATGATGAATATTTATAACTGTGATCCTGCTTGTGTGGTTTTGCCCTCTGCAGGATTGATCACCAGTGTCCGAGAGGTTGGTGGGGATCTCCAACCTGCGGACCCTGTCACTGTGACACCAATAAGGGTTTCGACCCGGACTGTAACAAGACGAGTGGACACTGCCACTGCAAGGTAATCAAGGGAAATGCCACAAGACTGAGACACATGCAGGCTTCAGGCACAGACTGGTAATCTTTGGTATCGCCTTCCAGAGACAAACATGAGGTGGAAAATTATTGATTACGCAACATTGAAAATCAAGGGAAATAAGAACATTTTAACATTTATGCAGCAGATGAAGCAGTTTCAAACTTTCTTCCACTGTTTAAAGATTTATTTTAATAGTTACAAACCATAAAGTTCACTTTAAAATAACAATCAGGATCAAAGAGTTAATGATGTTAATTCATTGACCCTTTTTGCTGTAACCACACAAACTCCTCTCAACTAACGGCACCAACAAAAACATGATGCTCATCCCTTCTGCTTATCGACATGTCTGCTTCATGCGTAAATATTTGTGTTGAGTAGTACGTTTAACCCAGATTTATGCTGGCTTTATTCTGATCCTTTGACCATAATCTTTAATCTCTAACACTAACCTTTTGATTTGACCCCAACCTGGGCATTACACCCACACATACACACACAGATACACACCCACACAGATACACACCCACACATACACACACTGATATGCACACACAGATCCCCATCAGTGGCTACAGAGAACGTTTTATTGACTTACTTTGTTTCCTGAAGACTAAAAGCACTTAGAGATTTAGACAACAAATCTGATTGAAGTCTGGTCTGCGTGTGGGTTTCCTCTCCCACCTCAGCTGACCTCAGGGCCGACCAGTGTTTGTATCACAGCACTCACACGTTCATGAAAGTGCAACTTGTATCTACATCAAATCTAATTTCTACGGCTCTTACAGCTACTTTAATGTCAAAGTTATAATTTGAATTATTTATGTCTTTGGTTCACAGACAAATAGTTTAAAAGTTTGCTCATAGATCGACTAAAACGTTTATATATACAGTGGTTTGCAAAAGTATTCATACCCCTTGAACTTTTCCATATTTTGTCACATTACAACCACAAACATAAATATATTTCACTGGAATTTAATGTGAAAGACCAACACAAAGTGGTATACAATTGTGAAGTGGAAGCAAAATTTTACATGAATCAAAACATTTTTTACAAATAAAAAACTGAAAAGTGCGACGTGCAAAAMTATTCAGCCCCCTTTTCCCTGAGTGCAACCAATTGCATTCAGAAGTTGCCTGATGACTGCTAATGACTCAAAAGGGTCCACCTGTGTGTAATCTAATCTCAGTACAAATACAGCTGCTGCGTGACGGCCTCAGATGTTGGTTAAGAGAATATTGGGGAGCAAACAGCATCATGAAGTCCAAAGAACACACCAGACAGGTTAGGAATATGGTTTTGGAGAAGTTTAAAGCAGGCTTAGGTTATAAAAAGATTTCCCAAGCTTTGAACATCTCACGGAGCACTGTTCAATCCATCATCCGGAAATGGAAAGAGTATGGCACCACAGTAAACCTGCCAAGACAAGGCCGTCCACCTAAACTTACAGGCCGAACAAGGAGATCACTGATCAGAGAGGCAGCCAAGAGGCCCATGGTGACTCTGGATGAAATGCAGAGAGCCACAGCTCAGGTGGGGGAAACTGTCCACAGGACAACAATTAGTCGTGCACTACACAAATGTGGTCTTTATGGAAGAGTGGCAAGGAGAAAGCCATTGTTAAAAGAAAACCATAAGAAGTCCCGTTTGCAGTTTGCCAGAAGCCATGTTGAGGACACAGCAAACATGTGGAAGAAGGTGCTTTGGTCAGACGAGACCAAAATTGAACTTTTTGGCCACAATGCAAAACGCTATGTGTGGCGGAGAAAGAACACTGCACATCACTCTGAAAACACCATCCCCACTGTCAAATATGGTGGCGGCAGCATCATGCTCTGGGGGTGCTTCTCTTCAGCAGGGACCGGGAAGTTGGTCAAAGTTGATGGGAAGATGGATGGAGCCAAATACAGGGCAATCTTGGAAGAAAACCTGTTGGAGTCAGCAAAAGATTTGAGACTGGGGCGGAGGTTCACCTTCCAGCAGGACAACGACCCTAAACATAAAGCCAAAGCTACAATGGAGTGGTTTAAAAAAAAGAATATTCATGTGTTAGAATGGCCCAGTCAAAGTCCAGACCTAAACCCAATTGAGAATTTGTGGCAAGATCTCAAAACTGCTGTTCACAAACGCTCTCCATCCAATCTGACTGAGCTTGAGCTGTTTTGCAAGGAGGAATGGGCAAGAATTGCAGTCACTAGATGTGCAAAGCTGGTGGAGACATACCCTAAAAGACTTGCAGCTGTAATTGCAGCAAAAGGTGGCTCCACAAAGTATTGACTCAGGGGGGCTGAATAATTTTGCACATCGCACTTTTCAGTTTTTTATTTGTAAAAAATGTTTTGATTCATGTAAAATTTTGCTTCCACTTCACAATTGTATACCACTTTGTGTTGGTCTTTCACATTAAATTCCAGTGAAATATATTTATGTTTGTGGTTGTAATGTGACAAAATATGGAAAAGTTCAAGGGGTATGAATACTTTTGCAAACCACTGTATATATATTTTTTTTTGCAATAACCGGAGTTGGATTTGTGCATCAGCCTGTAAATACTGTCTTTGCCTGTGCAGGAGTTTCATTACCGTCCTCGAACCTCTGACACCTGCCAGCCATGCGACTGCTACCCGGTGGGCTCCTTTTCGCGGTCATGTGACCCCGAAACCGGCCAGTGCCAGTGCAGGCCTGGTGTGATCGGTCGACAGTGCAATGCGTGTGACAACCCCTTCGCCGAGGTCACAAATTCAGGCTGTGAAGGTGAGGACAAAATAAAAAGAGATTTATCAGAAGTAAAAACTGTTATTTGTAAAATCGTTTTAGAAGACCTCTAAAGCAAGTTTAAAGCACACAACAAAGAGACAAATAAACCTAAAACACTGGCGCTAAAACAGGTTTTTGTTTCGTTTTCAGTTTTCTCTCCTTTGATTTTGTAAAGTTTCTTATTTTTACTGCAGTTATTTATGATGGCTGTCCAAAGACCATCACTCAGGGGATCTGGTGGCCTCGGACCAAGTTTAACCTGCCTGCTGCAGTCTCCTGTCCCAAAGGCTCTGTTGGTGTGTACACACACACACACACACACACACACACACACACACACACACACACAACACACACATCGGTGCAACATTTTGTCATGTCTTTTTTTTGAGGACGTTGAGCTTTTTGTTTCTGCTCCTCTCAGGTGCAGCCATCAGACACTGTGATGTGGCGAGAGGATGGCTGGAGCCGGATCTGTATAACTGCACCTCGCCTCCGTTTGTGGAGCTCAGCGTCGCTGTATGATGAATCCTGTTTACATTTGACACACGAAAAAACAAAAAAAAAAAACAAAGCAGACCTTTCTGAGTGAACACTGCTGATCTCAGTGTCCAAGATTTAAACATTAGTTGCGTTTATCTGTATACAAAACCAAATATTATTAATTAGTAAAGGATTTAGTTAATTCCTAGCTACAGGTCTAAGAATTTGTTTCTGTTTATTTCTGGAGCCCAGAAAGACATTTGAAAAATGCAGACATGTACATTTGTGGATATTATTAAACAGTTTACAATAATGATTTTTTTTTATGTTTAAATCTGTCTTATGCTCATTTTAAGTTCAATTCTACCTGAAATATACACAAAGCAAGGCAAAGAAGCAGCTCAGTTACATATTTTTCTGTATGACTTTAAATAAACTAGAAGCACCTACGTCTGTTGATATTCTCGCAATTAGTCTCCTTAAGAAATGACTGATTTTATTTTATTTTTAATGTTTTTCTCGCGCAGCTTGACTCCCTTGAGCGTAACGAGACCGAACTGAACACCATCATGGAGAAGAAGTTGGCTCACCAGCTCCGGGACGTAACCGAGGCCACGGCCCGGCTCTATGGGAATGATTTGCAGATCGCTGAACGGCTGCTCTCCCGCCTCCTGACGTTTGAGACCCAGCAGAGCGGCTTTGGACTCACTGCCACTCAGGACGCACACTTCAATGAGGTAAGACCATCTAACACACTGACAACAGGCACTCACTGTATTTTACTTTGGGACCTTTTTTTTTCTCTGTGACCATTTTAGACCATTATAAACAGGAGAGGCAGAATAGAAAAGCTCAGATTTATGATATACATCATGTTAAGTTAAAGTCAAGTCAAAGTTAATTTACAGTAGGCTATATATTTATTTGCAACAACCTCGGTTGACCAAAGGGCTTCACAACAATCGTTTCACATGTAGCTAAAGGATAAAACAAAAACGAAACTAAATTTGGTAAAAAATGGTCAAAACAATAATAAAATGGCAGTAGAATACCAATAAATAATAATATGAATGAAAATCAAGACAAACTTAATTTCAGTTGCAGCAATTTTCCCAAAATTCATTTCATTTAAGTATTAGTTTTCCCTTTATTAATTTTTTAATTTGTTCAAAATGGTAGAAATGATTTGTAGTTACAGCAGAATGAGCTTTTTGCTATTGAAACATTAATATGCAAACACAAATACTAACATGCTGACTGGACATCCTCATAATTATTTAGCTCTGCTGATTTTCTGCTTTGCGAAGATTGCTATTATAGACTTAAATACACCGAAGTGCTATTTTGTTTGTTTAAAAAAAACTTGTCAGCTTAAATGATTACAAATGAACAAGATAATCAACATTAGAAAATATCTTTACCTCCCAAAGAAAATGAGTTTTTGAGTTTACGTTACCTATGTTACAGGACAAAATAAGTTGCTGAACACCGTACGATTGATAGACTGTACTGTCAGAAGGTACAGACCGTGTGACTCGACATTAAAATAGGATGCCTGCTCTCAGTCGCTGTGGGACTGTGGTGACAGCAGCTCATGAGATATTGCAACATGTCAACGCAACACGTTAAAAGAGACAATCTCATTTCACCTGGTGCTGCGCCATCAGCTGAGAGGGTACGAGCTGACACAAAATCGTTTCAGAGCGTTGATGTTTTCACACGACAGATATCCCATTTTTTTCACATATTTTCTTATCTGTATCAAATTTAACAGAAAACAAGATGGTCATAAATCAAAAACCTGAAGAATCTTCGAAATGTTTTTATTTCCATGTAACACTGTCTGGCGTGTTTATGATTTACTCATTGTTTTCTATGACATGAAACAGGGAGTCCTTTTTTTATTAGATTGCATATAATTTTATTTCTAAAGAAGTGTGATTTCATTTTCTGTTTTGTGACATTGTGATACGTATGTCACACAGCAGTTAAAAGCCTTGTTGAAAGCAGAGCCAGTGGTAGTGATGATGGTAATTGTGGTATTTTGTGGTATTTCTGTCGGCAGTGGGGTTATTTTTATGCTGATGAATGATAATTCCACGCCACCTGAATATTTCCTCTCTTATCTTTGGCTGATCATTATCTAGGCAGTAATTTATTCATATTAACAAGGGGCACCGTGAGAGATAAAAGGAAGCATTTTTTCCCAGTATACACGCAATGAGGAAATAATTAGTTTCTACGAAAAGGCAAGGTTTTAGCCATGACAGCTGAAGCAGTAGTGGCCACTCCCTGCAGAGCCGGAACTAACGAAGAAGCAGTGGGGTGGGGGGCGCTGTGGGTTTTAATCATGTAGTGTGAGCAAATAAGTTTTGTACGTGCCTGTTTGAGTTCTTACTTTCTGTAACCTCTTAAGCCCCAATGGGTTTGCTTGAAGTTTTTTTTTCTCAAAATACCATGCTGAAATGTAATCAAGTGTATCTCAGCATTTACAAACTCTACTTAAATATTCTTGGTATCAAAATAAAGCTAACACTTGGGAGATTTCATCAGAAGTGTAAGAATTAAAACAGGCAGCTGCTGTGGTTTAACAGATATTGAGGATGGAACATAATTTTTTAATTATTTTTTTCACTCCCACCTGAATAATTTTTGCACTTGACAGTACATAACCTATTTAAAACCACAATGAAGTAGGCTTAAAACTCTTAGAAACCATAAATCCACATTACCTGTGCACAGATTCATGCTGCTAAAATGAACTGGAGCAAAGTTACAGAGGTTTTAATAAAGACATAATTTTACATTTTGTCATTCCGCACAGGACGAACCATGTAGGTACCACCAATAAATGTTAGTAAATGTTAAGTTTTCATGTTTAAAAGTTATTTATTTTTCTTACCTGCCTGAAAAGACTTGTGTCATGGTCTGTGTTTATTTTCTTTAACTTTCTAGTGTTTTCAATGTTCCCCTGTTTTGCTCTCCCTTTAGCCCCACCCTCTCTCACCTGTGTCCTCTTGTGTCTACTCCAGGTGTGTCTTGTTGCCCTAATTAGTTTGCCTTTATATGCTGTGTCCTGTCTTCAGTGTTTGTCCGATCATTGTGCTGCTTCCCTCAGCCAGTGAGGTGTCCTGTGTGTTCCTTGTTGTTCCAGAGAGTTTTGCTGCACTGTCAGCTGTTTATTTTTGGTTTTCTAAATAAACTCTTTATGTTGTACTTTGGTTCCTGCCTGCACTCTGGGTCATTCTGCAAAACCTCACAACTTGTTGTACTGAGCCTACGAGGGGACATGGGGGATTTTTTTTTCTTTTTGCGTTCCCACGCAAATGTATTGCGTTCCCTTGCAAAAGTCATTTATCACTGTTGTGCCTGCCGGTTTATTAACAAACTCATATGTTTACTTTTAGCGAGGTAGCCTACTGCTTTACTTCAGTTTTAGAATGATATATATCACACAACCACACATGGAAGTCTGTCATATGCCGATATTTTAACACAGTGCAGCCACAATGTCAAATTCACGAACTTGTGGCGACACATCCTGTTTTGGTAACCGGATATTTCAAAATAAGTCTGGTTTAATTCAGTTCATATACAAATCAAACTTTTGCATGGGAACGCAAAACAATATTGCGAGGGAACGCAAAGGTATTGCGTGGGAACGCAAAAGAAAAAAATCCCCCCATGTCCCCTCGCGGGCTCTGTATTATTGAATGTTTGTTCTTTTGAAAAATTATCCAAACGTTTTTTATCACCATATATATTATATAAAATAATTAGAAATTATGTTTAACTTCAGTTGGATCATATTCACTCAAAATCAAGTGGAAAAAAACCTTTCAACACACTTTACAACAAACAGTATTTAGGTATCTACTTTGACTTGCCTCAACTGCTTGACATTTGAACTGTGTTTGGTGAATGTAAAATTAGTTTCAATGGGCCTCATGCAAGAACCGTTCGTACGCACAGATTTGTTCTTAAATTGTGCGTACGAGTGATTTAGGAGAATTTGTGGCATTCACCAATGT